GCGGCTTTTTGAATGTGCTGTCTCCTTATACTAATAATCGAAACAGAGTCCGATCTCACGGCACTTTTTCGCCCGAGTTCAACACGGAAAGCGGTGTTTGTCAGGGTTGCCCTCTCCTTTACCATTTAATTTTAATTTGTGGAAACAGGCGTCATTGCACAAGGGTATTGAAATCGATTTAATCCCAGGCGACAAGCTGTCTGATTTCCAGTATGCTGACGTGATTGTACCGTTAGGTGAAAACCCTGGTAACTTGCAAGCCTTTTTAAACAGTTTGAGTACTAGGGTAGCCATGTTTGGCATGCGTTGTGCGCCTTCGAAGTGTAGAATGTTGCTACAGCACTGGTTTGGTGCAGCTCCCCACCGCCTAGTAAGGGAGGAAGTAGTACAGTAAGTGAACAAATTTTGTTAAATGGGCAGCTATATCTCACCCGGTGGACGCATCACGAACGGTGTCGGTACGCATTCAGAAGGCTTAATTAACCTTTGCCAAATCGAGACATTTGTCGCGCTATCACGACATCCGGCTGTCCATGACAGACCCCGGAAGGGTTTTATTTCTCAATCCGGAATTTCAAGGTTCGATTCCTAGTATGGGTATAGAAAGTGCTCACTGATGTCCCCAAAATAGTGAAACAACTCTCTAGTACTCTCTCAACCACTGCACAAATTTCCTTCGCGAATGATATCAAAACGTTCACTGTGCTAATCAAATCGCAAATGTAACTGGAATTTTTTTTACCGCAATCGAGTCTTTTTTGGTCGAAATAGAATTTCAACTTGTGGTGGTTGTCTGTTACTTTGCAGAACCAGTCTCTGGTGCTTTTCTTCCCGAAGGATGAAGCGTAAAGGTGTGGAAAAGAGCAATGCATGTTTGGTCAACAGGGATGGTAATCACCCTTTACATCAGAATTCTACTAGACTTCCTTGTGCAGCAGAATTAAGTGATATCAGTGAATCGGAAGACTCCTATGAGGCCAAGGTCTCCGATATTGAACGTCAAATTGAACAGCTGGACGATAAGACCCATCCTGGTTTGTTTGTTTGTTTGCTTTTCTCTTTTACGCACAACTTCATTACTTTAACAGAATATTTAAAAGCGAAACGAAAAGTTGACTTGTGGTATGCAGATGAGAAGCAACGAGTTCAAATCCTGCATGAGCATCGTGTAAGCTTCGGTGTCATACTAGAAATGATGCTATTTATTTATTTTTTCTTANCCAGCTGGAAACTGTCTATCGGGAGTACAACAAGGAATATGAATCATGCGACCGGGACTGTGAGGTCTGCTGTGCTTATTGTTGTTGACATCATTTCCTTCGTTTCATCACACGTACTTTTGTTTCGTTAGTTAGAAAAACGACGCATCCAAGACTATCTTACGTCATTATGTGAGGAGTTGAAACGTCGATTGGAACATGATAAAAAGAATATTGAACTAACACCAAGTGGGGGTGAGTCCGGAACATTTTATGATTTTGTACTGGGAAGTTGCAACATTCTGCTATGGTATGTCTGTTACTCCACATTATTGGTAGACAGATCTGTGATCACCCGATTTATCACTGTATCTACCTCGTTGGGGTCCTTCAATTCTCATAACTGAATATCGTGTTCTTGAATCTTATGGTGAGAATCCAAAGTCACAATAGAATCAGGGCAATTATTTGGGAATCATGGTTCGTTCATCTCTGATTCTTCTTCGTGGCTTAGTCGTTGGACTGCGAACCACTCTGTGGGAGCTTTATTTGCATATTTAGAAAATATGGTGTCGGCATTGAATGGTTCCAGATAAGTACTAACTTGTTCACGCAGACGGTGTAAAATGTGATTATATTAATTTTAATACCTTAGGTGGCTAGTTGCCTTTCACCACAGTTCAGAGCGAACAGAATAGCTACACAAACGAGGAAGCGGATCGTTTTCCATACAGTATGAGAGAATTTTGTGCTGTATACCCCTATGTAGACCACATCAACAAGCAGTTTTTACATCCCAGATGAACGCTTTTACTCGGAGTCCTGGAATGCAAGACTACATCCAACCCAGGAATAAGCCCCCCCAAGCATCCATGTGAAGGATTCTTTAACTACGTCATATTGTGATCTATGATGTGGTGTTTAGTGATCTGCTTGTTGGTATCGCCGCACTAACGTGATAGAATAATATCAGCCCTGTAGTGTGAAGACTAGTTTATTTGGGATTGAGAAGAAGAACTAGGCAGATGCCAAAGATGGTTTTCCAAATGGGTGCCTAATACTTTAGGGTACAGCATACTTCGCGGCAGCCCATCCTGACGAAGGGGTTTTTCTTTGGGAACCCTAACCGGAGCCTTCGACTCAAAGACCTGAACCACAAGGCATTGGGGCGTAAATCCAATGCCGGAGCGTGAACGCAGCACTCGTTTGGGAGCTTCTAAAGACCTTTCACGCAAGGCCTTCGGGTTTCGGTTAAGTGTGTTGTTCGCTGGTGCGTTGATTGTCGGTCTACTTTTCGAGATCGGCCCTTAGCCTCATGCACCCAGTGAGACAAGCGGAACGTGGATGGGACATCACCTTATTGGCTGTGAAGACAAAAGTATAAGACTTGTGAGTAACATATAGCCTGAGTCTAAGTATGTTGGTCCGATTAGTTTTTAGGTTCAGGTACCACCGAATCTCATAGTTCCTTGGTCAATCAGGGTTGTACTTTTGGCCGTCTTCGCTTAAGATTCTCTTTCCATTGAGGACGAGAGCCTTCGTTCAAACTATTGCTTGAAAAAGCGCATTGATTTGATCATTTGGATTGCATACCGAGGCAAGTAAAAGCATGAAAAAGCATTCACTATGCTGATCTCAAAGATACAATTTACTAATTAACAATTTTGAGCTACCATAGATGAACAAACTACCCAATGGGGAGCATACAATTCTGAATGTTTATAGTCCGGAATGAGAATTTTGATACCGAAGAGTTCGCTGGACTGGAAATGTTGTTTACAGGTATTCAGAAATCACACTGATGATGCTTGATATGGTTACGAAACGTCTTCAAATAACATTTTCTGCCCAGGGAAACCTCCTACCCAAATTGCGGGTGTTTTTATTATTACACTCATAAAAAGTAGAGGGTATGGACCCCATAGTTGAGAAAACCTGCTGTTCAGGGATGAAAACCAGTAACCTAAGCCCCATGACTTGTGGTAGCGAACCACATAAGACCCCATTAGGTTAGGCGTGCTATTCAAGCGGACGATAGCAAAGCTGCTTACCACTAAAGTTAGATGGTGGTGGCGGCGGGGTTCGAATTTCGGACCACAAGGTCCAATGTAAGCCGGCGACAGCGACTAAACTGTGGTGTGTAGTTGATGTAGAGCACAAGTGTTACGTATCAGATATGTTCGCTGCTGGTCCATACTCAGCTTTTCTTATCTTTTTGCATACCAGTGATTAGAAGGTAAGGCATATATGCATCTTTTCCTTTAAGCGTACAGTTAAGTTTGCTTCAACTTGACTACAATCTATTTTTTTCTGAGATGTGGTTGAATCATCAATTTTCAACCACACTGTTCATACTTTAAAGCAAACTCACAAAGTCGTCTGAGGTCTGCGGTATGTTAACTGAGAACTAAAAGCTGGTGATTTGCATTCATTACCATTGCAGCCCACGGTCTTTTATTGCGTTACATAACAAACCTGATTGGTTGAACTCTTTCTTCCACATAGATTTATTTTATTTGCAAATTTATTTTTATCAGTTATGACATTAGTTCAATAAACCTCTCTGTTGGTGATTCTTGATTATGCGTCCTATTTCAATCCACAGACATTTTGGATTTGAAACCAGCAATAACCCGCAAACTTCGCCGACTAAAACTGGTTGTATTGGTTGAGGGTCCCTCAACCAATACAACCAGTTTTATGTACTGGGGCGATTTACTCCTTTGTGGTTCCACTTGGCCCTTAAGTACGGTTTCGTGTAAAGGAGCACTAACCTCGTTAGATGCAACTGGGACGACAGACATCAAGAGTCCGGTTCCGGATGGGACTACCAATGGGCAACTGGGTGGGGAAAACTCAACAGGGGGAGTCGATGCGTCCGACTCAACCAAACCCGTAACATCAAGTACCGCATCAGATTTGCCTCCTACCACAACAAGTAAC